GGAGGATGGGGGGAGGAACACGAGGAGGAGGAGGAGCAGGAGGAGGAGGAGGAGGAGGAGGAGGGTGGAGGAAAAGGGTGAGGAGGAGGAGGGGGATGAGGAGGAGAAAGAAAAGGAGGAGAGGAGGAGGAGGAAGAGGGGGAGGAGGAGGAGGAGGAGGAAAAGGAGGGTGGAGAAGGAGGAAGGTGGAGGTGGGGGATGAGAAGAAAGCTGAAGAGGAGGAGGAGGAGGGGGCGGCGGCGGCGGCGCTCCTCAGGGGTTCGGTGACGGGTCGAACCAAGGAGAAATGTGGGGAACTCCCCTCAACTCGATCTGGTCGGCACACACCAGGCGTGGGGCACGAACGGCAGGCCCTCTCGGGCGGTGCCCGTGCACGGCCTTGGCCACCAACAAGCAGCAACGACGCGGGAGAACCAAGAGAGAGCGGGCGCCGTACCAGGCAAGGCACACTGCCACGGCAGCGTGCACGGCCCCTTCACCAGCACCCAACAGGGGACAGCCCCCAGGGGGGGAAGAGAGGCCAGCCAACAGGCCCAGAAGGAGCAAGAGGGAGAGAAGAGGGGGGGAGGGACGAGGACGACAGCAGGAGGGGCCACTTCATTCAAGAGTGCCTCGCGTACGAGCGCGCGAGGCCCACAGAGGCGTCTATTCGGCGGAATGGCGCCAGCCACTAAAAAAGCAAAGACCCGAGCCCCCCGTCGCGGCCACGAGCCCAACGAGGCCCGAATTCATAGCGGTGCAAATGGCGCCCTGTGCAGCTCCAAAAGCCTCAATACCCACTCACGATGCCTCCAAGACCTTCAGTCCCTCGAGCTCCATGTGCCCAGGGGGGCGCGGCCCCAAGAAACAAATCCTCTTAATGCATCCTCCACCACCATGACAAGGGACCTCTCCCACTTCTCGTCCATCCTGGCGATAATCAGACGCCGCTTCGTTGAGTCAGACATCTTCTCCATGCGAAACAACCCAGTCCAATCACGTCTGCCTTGAGCGGCTCTGGAGTCGAGTCGACCATCGTCAAGCAGGCGGCGGTCAAAAGAAACGAGTCAGGAGGCCCCCAGCTGTGCCCCTTCATGCCCCTGGTCCTCAGGATACACTGCCACTGTGGGCCTTGAGCATAGCGACCCACAACTTCCCTCCCTGGGAATCCCTACCTGCACCATTCATGCCGCTTCTCACAGCCTCTCCTTTTGATTCGCAATCACTCCGGGCTTGACTTTGTCGTCCTTGTACTTTCCTTTGGTATGCTTCACACCCCTGCCCGCTGGCGCCGCAGAAGCATCTCCTGGGACACCAGCCGCGCCAAACTTGCCAGCCCAGGCCAACATCATCTAGCCCCAAATGCACCGAGTGCTGCAGCAAACGAAGTGCGCCCCCAAAAACCAGAGGCTGTTGAAAGGAAGGGTCACAATAGCATGCTAGACTGAACCATAACGCCAATACGCCGAAAAAGAAGGACGCCTCTAATCAACTCGTATACCTCAATGTAGGTTGTCACCATATGTCCACGTGCAATAATATAGCTCTGAAACTTGATTTTACATGTCTCACATGTGTAATGGGGGTGTCCACCACATGCGCATGCATCGTCATCGAACCTCTAGATTTAGGGCACTGGCGTCGCGATAATTTGGCTGCCATATGGTCAGATGCGTACCGACGAGTCGTGAAGAACTTGTCACACTTAATACACTTGTTGGAAATAGTCAGGGTCTGGGCGAGGTTCTTTTGTCCGTGGCCCGCTGCTTTTGAGTTGACCTGATGCAGAAGCAGCTGACGTGTCATGCCGAATGTCCTGCTGCAGCCCTTTATGGCACACTCGTATGGTGCTGGGGCATTATCGGGCACGAGTGGCACAGGCGGGCCAAGAGCAATTCCTTGTCCTTCTCCTCCACCTCCTTCAGCATCCCCACCGCCACTTTCCACGCCCCCCCCGCTGCCCCGAGTGTTATCCTCCATCTCCATCACCTCCTGGTAGATCTCCTGAAAAGTCCCCGATCCTCCAGAAATCCTCTTTACCTGCGATGCTGTGGCCTCCAAAACAACCTTCCTGATACTGTCGTCACCGAACAAGGCGGCAAGCTTGCGGAGGAGCACTGGCCGTACTTCCGGCATACTGAGCTCCTCGATACAAACAGAAATGTCCAGCAAGAAGTGGTTCCACCATGGATGAGCAGCACTAGCGCCTGCTGGCGAAAAATAGAACCATCCCGTTCACATAGACAATGCTTATCCCAAGCAGCATAGCCAAATAGTGATGCCAGCATCAAGGTGTGGCGATCAGGGGGAACCTTACGAGCTCCTGCCACCAGCTGACTCGCCACGCCCGCAGTATACTAGACGGTGTATGAGGTTTCATATGATCCCTGATCTGTGGATTCGGGAGAGCACATCTTTTTTGCTGGTCGTCCGTAGCAGCAAACTCCAGGACACCCCTTACCTTGCAACGCTCCTATTGCTAAAAATACCCGACCCCCCCAGTCTCTGCAAACCAGCTTCCCCAATAGGATATGCGATCACCTCCGCGAGCAAGGTTCCCTTCCACCATACTCTTGAACACCGCCGATCGCCACCTGTCGCTCGTAACTTCAGACCAAAAACTACCCAGGATAGCGAAGGCCTCCTTCGCGCGCTTGATGAGATTGTCGATCTCAGGCTTCACGCGACCTTGAAACTGCAGCCTGCCGCCCAAATACGATGCCTCTCTCCCCACCTGCCCTCTTACCGCTCACCCGTCTCGGTAAAGCCTCCTCATGCCGTGGTGAACCCCTCCCCCTTCCAACTGCACCAAGGATACCTGCTTGTCACCGTTCATAGCTACTCCGATCTCGTGCATCTGGGCGCCCAGATGAAAGAACTGCGTGATACATCTGATTCGGCAGTCTGCGACATCCTCCATTTCAGACGTCCTCGCCACATCATCCGAGAAGCTCGCTATACATATATATATATACACACATATATATACATATACATAGAGATATGTCGTTGTAACCCCTCGCAAAGTGGTTCAAGAACTGTCTACCTTCAGGCGCATCCGTCAAACAGTGCCGAAGCCACTGTACCTGCACCGGTATGCTTTTAGCGTCCGAGTCTCGACATCCGTCAAGTTGCGCACTGTACGGCCCAGGAACCATGTGCAAGCGATCGTGCCACCAGGGCGAGCGCCTTGACCTAAGCCTACGATAAGCGTGCCATCCGTGCAGTCATTCGAGACTTGTGCGAAGCGCAGTCTCTGTTTAAACAGTTCGGCCCCGAATTCGTCGCTATGTGCATCTACATACGCTTCTAAATGCTCGTGATGCACGCTGTGAAACGCATTCGTCGCATCGTACAACGTTGTCATGCTGCCTACTTTACTTCCATGAATACGCGCAACACAGATACTCTGTGCAGCTATCGCTTCCTCGCGCCGCCGACCTTTGAGGTAACCTAACGAATAGACGCGGTCAGCAGCACCCGTGAGCAGCGGATAGCAACACCAGAGTCATCCATAGTACACCTTACCGAATGAATCGAGCGTGTACAAGCCTCTGGCCCTTACACTCGCTTTTCCCATTGAGTTTGTCAAGGGAGAACGCCCTACTCCTGTGCCACGTCAGTGGCGTCCCCCAGTGGTGTTGCACGGCAATGCAAGTCCACAACAAACATTTATCAATGCTCGGGGAACATGGATCATTCGCATCAAACTCGAACTCGGGTGCCTCTTGGCGGCGTGCATGCTTGTCTCCGTTCGGTGGCACCAGGAGACGCCACACTCCGCCTGGGAAAGTCCAGTCGGGTGGCGTTCGACGCAGTCTCGCACGCTTCACTCTGGCACACGCTGCACAGAAGTCCTCTCGGCCTTGCGCCAGCATCACAAGCGCCAGCCAAGACCGCGGCGCACGGGTCCTTCGCGCTTCTTCCTCCGACCCTCGAGGCGGGGGCCTCGCAGCAAATCCACCGAGGTCCCCTCGCTGTTTAAAATTACCCCAGTGCGACCCTACCTAGAAGTTGGAGCCCCTAGGAAAGCAGCATTAGTTGCTATGCTATGCTATGCTATGCTATGCCATGCTATACTGCACTATGCTATGCTATGCTATGATATGATATGCTGCGCTATGCTATGCTATGCTATGATATGCTATGTTATGCTATGATATGCGATGCTATGCGATGATATGCGATGCTAAGCTATGATATGTCATGCTGCGCTGTGCTATGTTAAGCTATGATGTGCTATGACATACTATGCTAAACTGCGCTATGATATGCTATGCTATGCTATGCTGCGCTATGATATGCTACGCTATGCTATGCTATGCTGTGTTCTGCGATGCTAGAGCTCAGCGGAACTAATATGAAGGTAAGCTAAGCTAAGATAAACCTGAGCTAAGATGAAGCTAAGCTAAGCTAAGATGAAATAAGCTAAGCTAAGATGAGATACGCGACGCTAAGCTAAGGGGACGTAACTGGGGGAACCGCGGGACGGATACTGGGGGAACCGCCCGGGGCGCTTTCCACTGCCCGGCCCCGCTAAGCCCAGAGAGTAAGAACCCTTCTTGGCAGAGCCTAGGTAGGGAAACATCATGACAAGCGCTCTGCTAGTGTTTCGTTCTCGGCGCGCAGTAGTTCCTCTGCATCGGGCCCACATTGTTCCGAGCGAACCATCCAGAAAGCTTCCAACATAAGGCCGTGTCGCCCACCCGCTGAGCCTGTATCAGCTCCGCGGCGTACAATCCCATCTGCTTAGCCCTATCACGTCTCGTGAGCACTCTCACAAGCTTGTCTCGTCTCTGGCACTCAACGCATGTACCACAAATGCAAGACACGCGTGCGCCTCGTACTCCTCAAGGTGCGCACGCGAGACAGCACACGCCTTGTCTAGGAGCAGGAGGACGGGGGGAGGATGGAGTGGATGAGGAGCGAAGAAGGCAGGGGACAGGCATGGGTGCAGAGGACGGAGGTGAGGGAGGACAGCGCCGACGAATCGCAATTGACAAGAAGGACGTGGCGGCCAACGGGCTCCTCTCTGCCGATCGCGTGGCCCAGCTCGTCCTCAAAGCTTGGCCATCATCCCCATGCTCCCTCCTCCCTCCCAGTCTCCCCACTCTCCCTCCCTTTTCCGCCCCTCCTTTCCCGCGCCCCCCCTGGCCATAGCACGCCGAACCCAACGTCGGACTGGACCAGGCCGGGAATCTCTGAGGCCCGGCCAGCCTGCAGGACGTATCGGGCGCCGCGGCCGCTCCAGGGCGCCCCAGAGCGGTCAGCTGCAACGCCCTGGAACAACTTGCCCTCGCCCTCCGAGCTCCAGCGGTGACTTGCTCTCGGCGCGGGCCCCCAGATCGGCTGCACGCAAGAGCGACCCCAGGCAAGCGTGATCTCTGGTGCGCGGCTGCAGGGGCGAGAGGGCCTGGACCAAGCGCGCAGGCCGCTGCTGCCGCATCGCATCCAGCGATCGGGGGTCCCTCCTCCTCCTCCTCCTCCTCCTCCTCCTCCTCCTCCTCCTCCTCCTCCTGCTCCTCCTCCTGTTCCTCCTCCTGCTCCTCCTCCTGCTCCTCCTCCTCCCTCCTCCTCCTCCTCCTCCTCCTCCTCCCCTCCTCCTCCTCTCCTCCTCCTCCTCCTCCTCCTCCTCCTCCGCCTCCTCCCCCTCCGCCTCCTCCATCGGGGGACCCCAGTGGGCCCGCACAAAAGGAACAGTCACTCTGGCGAATGGTCACCCTTACGTGTAGTTCGGCGTCCAGGATCGTGTCTCTTCAGCGCCCCAGGAACCAGGGAGGAGGGGGAGGATGAGGAGGAGGAGGAGAGGAGGGAGGAGGAGGCGGAGGAGGCGGAGGAGGAGGAGGAGGAGGATGAGAGGAGGAGGGAGGAGGAGGAGGAGGAGGAGGGAGGAGGAGGATGAGGAGGAGGAGGAGGAGGAGGAGGAGAGGGGAGGAGGAGGAGGAGGAGGAGGAGGAGGAGGAGGAGGAGGAGGAGGAGGAGGAGGAGGGGAGGAGGAGGAGAGGGAGGAGGAGGGAGGAGGAGGAGGAGGAGGAGAGGGAGGAGGGGGAGGAGGAGGAATCGAGCCTCCAGGGGCCGCGGTCGCAGGAAGCCAGGCGTCGTGACCTTCCGGTGCCCGTTCTCCTGCCCTCCTCCCCCGTGTCCTGCTGCTGGGCGCCCTTGGCTCTCTCGGGGGGTGCCCCCGGTGGCCCAAGACATCCGAGAGCCTCAATCCTCGACCATCCTACGAGAGGACAGAGGACGATGCACGCACACACACACACACACACACACACACACACACACACACACACACACACACACACACACGCACACACACACACACACACACCGATGCTGGCCGGGCCCACCCTGAGCCCAGGGTCGGTGCATACGCCATCCTGCCCTGGCCAGGAGGGCACATGCACCGATCCTGGGCCCAGGACGGGCCAGGCCAAGATCGGTGCATGTGCATGATCCTCTTCGCCCGATCCTACTCTCTCCTCCTGACCCTGCTCCTCCTGACCCAGCTCCTGCTCCTGCTCCTCCTGTTCAACCTCATCTTGTTTGACGTTGGTCAGACTTTGGCTGCACATGTGTAGCGTCCACCGAAATGCGGGTGCAAAAAAACAACGAACGCGCGAGAGAACGAGAAAACAGAAAGAACCCGCAAAATTACATGCAAGTGCTGGGCACAGCGTAATAATTCGTTCTGCACGCACTTGCGTTGGCCTCGAACAGTAGGTTCTTGCAATATATGCGGAGCAATCTATGTGGTGCAATTGATTTTAACATACGAGTTGACACATCCCGCGCTCTTGCAAACATCCCACCCACCCACCCGCCACTTGGTTTGCAAAACCCGCGACGACGATGACGACGCCGACGACGACGACAACGACGACGACGACGTCAACGACGTCAACGACGCCGACGACGACGACGGCGACGACGACGACGACGACGACGGCGGCGACGACGACGACGTCAACGTCGGCGACGACGAAGACGACGACGACGCCGACGACGAAGACGACGACGACGTCGCCAACGAAGACGACGACGAGGGAGGAGGGAGGACGACGACGGCGACAACGACGACAACGATGACAACGACGAGGAAGGAGGGAGGACGGCGACGACCGACGCGAACGACGAAGAAGGAGGAAGGACGGCGACGCCGACGACGACAACGACGAGGGAGGAGGGAAGACGACGACGACGACAACGACGAGGACGACGACGACGACGGCGCGATAGCAGGGACGACGACGAGACGCCGACGACGGACGACGACGACGACGACGACGAGGGAGGAGGAGGAAGGACGACCACGGCGACAACGACGACGGAAACGACCACGACGCCAAAGAGGACGACGACGACGAACACGAGGAAAGACAGAGGACGACGTAGGAGACGACGACGACGACGCGGGAGGAGGGAGGACGGCGACGACGACGATGACGACGACGATGACGACGACCCAAGAGCGCGCGCGCACGCTTTTGGTGAAAATCCGTGTTGCGAAATCTTGGGTTTTTGTAGGCTTGTTGGACACACGATTTTGAAGTCCTTCCGAAGCCGATGGTCTTTGAAGGTTTTCGGAATACGCGCGCGACGACGCGCGCGTCTGCACTTCGTCTTATTTTTTGCCGAGGATTCTCGCGACGGCACACGCGCAAGGGCGTTCGACAGATTTCGACATGCGCGCGCGAAGCCTGTTTCATAGCATTTTGTGAAAATCTTGAAAAACCAATGGTTTCCTCAAGATTTCGCAAGAGCTCGCGCGGAAGCTTTTTTAGCAAATCAACGTTGCGAAACCCTATGTTTTTGTATGTTTTTTGGAAACTCGATTGCGAAATCCTTCCAGCACAGTTTTTCAAGGATTTCGGCATGCGCGCGCGACGACGCGCGCGTGTGCACGTCGTCTCATTTTTTGCAAGGGACTCGCGAAAAAGCGCTATGCTAGAACAAAACATGTCACCGCATACTGTTTTTTGACGAGGGAACCTCAGGGGGGGGATACCGGCCCCCCTGGGATAGTGTAAATTCATACTTAGGATGGACATGTGGTCAGAATCACGTATGATTTACATACCCGAAAGGGGGATTGATAACGCCGGGGGGGGGGGAGATCCTATTTTGTTTTCAAAAAAAAGAATTCACTTTGACTGTCTTGAAGCTGTCCTTTTCTTTGCTCATGCAAACGTCCCCCCCGTCCCACCCGCAACTTGGTCGCAAGACCTGCCAAGATCGTGACGGTAGGTAACAAATCGCACTTGGCAGCGACACCGACGCCGACAACGACAGCGACAACGACAACGACGACGACGCCGCCGACACTGACTACGACGACACCGGCGACGTCTCCAACGACTTCGACGACGACGACAACAAAGACGACGACGACGACACCGACGACGACGACGCCGACGCCGACGACGACGACGACGATGACAACGCCGACGACGACGACGCCGACGACGATGACGACGGCGGCGACGACGACGCCGACGACGACGACGACAACGACGACGACGACGTCGCCAACGAAGACGACGACGACGAGGTAGGAGGGAGGACGACGACGGCGACAACGACGACAACGACGAGGGACGGGGGAGGACGGCGACGACGAGAACGACGAAGAACGAGGGAGGACGGCGACGCCGACGACGACAAAGACGACGAAGGAGGGAAGACGACGACGACAACGACGACGACGACGACGGCGACGAAATAGGAGGGACGACGACGAGACGCCGACGACGGACGACGACGACGAGGGAGGAGGAAAAACGACCACGGCGACAACGACGACGGAAACGAAGACGACGCCGAAAAGGAAAACGACGACGACGATGAGGAAAGACAGAAAACGACGACGGCGACGACGACGACGAGGGGGGACGGAGGACGGCGACGACGACGACGACGACGCAAGAGCGCGTGCGCGCACGCTGTTGTTGAAAATCCGTGTTGCGAAACCCAATGTTTCTATGTTTTCTGGACAATCGATTTTGAAATCCTTCCGGAACCGAAGATGTTTTAACGGATCGCTGCATGCGCGCGACGACGCGCGCGCGCCCTTCGTCACATCTTTTGCAAAGGATTCTCGCGACGGCACGCGCGCAAGGGTGTTCGAAGGATTTCGACACGCGCGTGCGCGAAACCCGTTTGGTAGCGTTTGCTTTGAAAACGTTGAAACACCTATGGTTTTCTCACGATGTCGCAAGAGCGCGCGCATGTAAGTTTTTTTGTGGGGGGAAATCCGTGTTGCGAAACCCTGTGTTTTTGATTGTTTTGTGGGAGCTCGATTTTGAAATCTGTCCGAAAACAAAAGTGTTTGAAGGATTCCGGTATGCGCGCGCGACGACGCGCGCGTGTGCACTTCGCCCAGTTGTTTTGCACGGGGCTCGTGAAATTTATGATTTGTGATGAAAGAGTGCACACGCATAATAATTTGTTGCAGAGGATGGCGGGGGGGGGGGTCGATGCCGGCCTGGCTGGGATAGTATGAATTCACAGGTCGGATGGACATGGGGTCAGAACCATATGTTTTTGGCATCGGTTCCCGGGGGAATTTTAACCCCAGGGGGGGAAGATGTTTCAATTTTTTTTGTTTTGAAAAGAAGGAGAATTAATTGCTGTTCGCAATGAATTGTTGACTCCACTGCTCGCGGAATCATTCCACCCACCCATCCGCGACTGGGTTCGCAAAACACACGCAGTGGCGATTGCGATGAATGCTTGGCGCTGGCTGGTTCATCTCTGCAGCCGCGCCGCCCCAAGAACGCGCGCGGAGCGGCAAACTAGTTTGGCACGACCAGCGCAGCCGCGTTGGCGCTGACCGCTGCACGCATCCCAGCGGGCACTTCAATGCGAGTCGGCGACACTGGCGGGCGCGGTATCATGGCAACGTCGACGACGTCGAGCGATGCTGGCGACGATGCTCACAACGAAGGCGGCGCGGCCAGTGCGGGCGCCGATGCTGATCACGCCGACGACGATGACGTCGTCCTCGCGTCGGCGATGCAGGCTTTGGAAAGAGTTCGACATGCGCGCGCGGCCGGCGC